AAATAAATAAATAAAATGTAAAAAAAAAAAGAAAAAAAATTCTCTCTCCCCCTCTCCCTCTGCCCCCAGCTTGAGTGTGTGCATGCAAGTGCGCTCTCCCTCTAAAAAAATAAAAATTAAAATAAAAAAATAAAATACCTATTTGACAGGGGATACATAATGTATAAAGATGATCTGCTTGTAGCACAAGGCACTGGCCAGTAAAACTGATAGCTCAGCACTAAGAGTTTGAAAATATACCCACACAAAACTCAAAGCGAAGTACAGAGATTGCGTTACGGGTGAAAATTTAGTAAGTGTGTCTCAAGATACACGAGGGGAACCAGAGAGTTAGTGACCGGCAGATTTAAGGCCAATGTAGCAGGAGCAGCGTTTCAAGTACAAAGAGGGGAGAAAGAGCATTATTCTACTGAAGCAGCAGCGTGCTTAGCTTCTGCTGCCTTTCTGACTGTTAAGAAACCAAGGAATGGAGTGATAAGAACATGTGGAAAGACAGGCTCAGGGACTGGAGGGAAAAAACTGCAGGACAGTCAGAGATGCTAAGGGTTAACTGCTGTTAGTTATTCGCTTCTTACTAATCCGATATTTTTGTCCCTTTACTAAACTTTAGTAAATTGTCTTTGACTTTGAAACAGTCTAGTGGCTATAATTTAAAATGTAAGACCCAGGGAAGAAACGGCATTGTCCCACATTTTAACTTTAGAGAAACTTGTCAGTCTTCTTAATGAAGACACAGAATATTGGCTGAGGGATGGAGAGCATCTCCTCCAGAGTGGAGTATCTGGCAAGCACCTGGGGTCAGTCGGTGTAAACTGATGATGAGTGACATGAAGCCGCCTACGGCCATGGCTGGTTCAGCTTCCCAGAAGCTAGCCCCTTGAGCAGAGAGAAAACGTGTGAGAGGTTACCAAACACAGCTCAGGGCACGGGCCACAGATCCACTGCTTCAAATTAGTGCCAGAACAAGGGAGGTAAACTAGAGAAGAGCAAGCAGGGGTCTGGGGCCATTTGGTTTCAGCAGCAACTAAGTGATTGGCCTAAAGGGTAACAGGATAAAATCTTAAACCTGAGCAGTAGGTCTATGAAGGCTGGTGCCTGTGAAGGCTGGTGCCTGTGACGACAGGGAAATTCCAAACTGCCCCTCTGTTTCTTCATCCCACCATCTCCAGCAGAGGATTAAAAGACTCAGGAGTAATGACAAGATCAGCCAGGGGAAAAGGCCATGCAGCCCTGTCAGAAATAAACATACACGAGAAGAGGACAATTTTCCAAAGTGGAAAGAGGAGAAAGAGAATCCATCTTCCTGAGGGCTGACTGTCTTTCCAAGGGATGTCTAAAAGGGTGGAGCAATGTCTCAAATTTGTTCAGGAGGCCAAAGCATCTGAAAATAGTGGTGTTCTTAACAGAATATCATGAAATATTGAGATACAGCATAAAAAATGTTTAATGTAGGGGTGCCTGGGTGGCTCAGTCAGTTAAACATCTGCCTATGGCTCAGGTCGTGATCCCTGGAATCAGGGCCTGCATGGAGCTGCCTGCTCAGTGGTGAGTCTGCTTCTCTTCCTCTTCCCCTCCCCCTCCTCCTGCTTGTGCTCTCTCCCTCTCCCTCTCTCAAATAAATAAAATCTTAAAAAAAATGTTTAATATACAGTAGCAGAAGCCTAAGACTTAGAACAAAATACACATGATACAACTTTTTAAACAAGCCAGAGTCAAACAGCTTTAAAGTTAACACAAAAATCAAAAACAAAGTGCACATCTCTAGCAAGGATAGAGTACAAAAGATAAAAGATAAGTAAATAGTGTAGTCACTATTTGTTTAAAAGAATCAACGTGAGGGGCACCTGGGTGGCTCAGTGGCTTCTTAAGTGTCTACCTTCAGCTCAGGTCATGATCCCAAGGTCCCAGGATTGAGCCCCTCATAGGGCCCTGAGTCTGCTTTTCCCTCTGCCTCTCCCCCTGCTCATGCTTGCTTGCTCTCTCTCTCTAATAAATAAATAATCTTTAACCCCCCCCCCCCAAAAAAAGAATCAATGTGAAAAGCACATTTAGACACTAAAGGACACAAGCCAGGAAGGGTCAGAAGATTAACTGACTCCTTAGTTCAAAAGTGCCACATTTGAACTGTTGTACTTCCAATTTGTAACTGGTAGAGACCTTACTAAGCAATTTATAAAATCAGTCCACGAACCTTAAGTGCTGGTTTGAGAATATCATACAATAAGATACTGAAGGTAAACAGGAACTTTTACCACATTTCTCTATGAAAGTCAGAAGTAGAATTTTAAGTGATTAAAGACTCAGTACAGGATGTTTGCTGAATGAAGTCAGAACAGGGTATCAATAGACAGACATGACCATTTCAAAAATTATTCTTTGCTTGAAAATTGTATGTTTTTAAGACTCAGTGTATGACATAGTGCAGAATACAAATTGTTACCAGAATTTCAAAGTCTACAGCACTTTTAAAAAGGAGAAGGAGGGGGCTGAAATCCAACCAAGCCAAAGCAAT